GCTGCTTTCCCAAGCATTCCCTCATAGGACGGGCTAAGGGAGGGGTTTTAGTCAGGCTTGAGAAACTGCCCCCGTGGAAACACTATACGTTGAGCCAGACCTGCGGAGAAACGGCTTGCCTCTCTGGGAAACTGAGAGAAGGAAGGGGCTGCGGTTATTGGAGATAATGAGAAGTGACGCGACCTGACGTAGCCTTTGACCTTCCTCGGTTAAGTCGCTTGGGTCGCGGGATGGTAGCAAGCGGCGGTGAGCTGGAATATTATAGAAAAGCACAAGGTTGCGTTAGTTCTGCCCTTTTTTTCTGTGGGAGATGGATTATTTCTCCAGCTGATAGCTCGAGTTCTCTGACCAGCAACCCTTGAAGGCTCTCAGCTAGAGAAGTGGAAACAGCGGGGTGGACAGCAACGTGAATATTGGGTGAAGATGGCCCGGACGGCGGAGTTACTGCTTCCCGTCCCCAAAGCGGGTGGGCCATGACGTGAAAAACGCCCCTGACGACATCGCGCCGGAAACGTAAACCCCCCCCTGCCCCTCTGCCGTCCCCCTCGCACACCGACACCGACCTGAAACCACGCCGGGCTCCCAACCAGGTGAAATAATAATGCTGGGCTCCCGTGCCAAGTTTCCAGCTGTTTCCACATGTGTATCTCATACTTACCTCCTCCCGTGCGCCTGTGCCAGGACCGAGATTCAATAAAATGCCACACTAATCCGCAGTCCTTTTTCATTAAATGACCAATTAAAGCTAGAGGAAAAGGGTTCTTATTATTATTATTTCAGTTGGGAACACGTTCCCTGCAACACCGGGTGGGTTTTATGTGTATTTTTTGCGATGATTAGATTCTCTTCTACTTTGTTATCTCTGCAGAGTTCCGTTGCTACTGCGTCTGGTTTGCCCCAGCTCCTCGCTGCTGCCTGACTCGGCGGTGATTTGGTTTTAAATTCTGTAAAGTTATAAAATACTTCTGCGTACAAGCTAATGTACTCAAGGTGAGAATGCCGTGGTTATACACTGGTAGAGCGTATAGGTGGAGAGGTCAGAGAATATAAACAGTTGGAGAAAGGTCTCAGGGCAGCGTTGCTCCCAGGAGGTGGTGGTGCCCCGGGGCGCACGGTGATGCTCAGCTCCTCGTGCTGGGCCATGTGTGGGTGGGGAGAAGGAGCAAACCCCCATCCCAGAGCAGCGTACGTGGCGAGACTGGCACGGAAAGCCGGGGGGAAGCAGCTACCCGAGCTCCGCACGGGGCTGAAGCCCGTCAGGAAGTAAAAGCTCACGGGGTGTTCACACCTAGTCCCAGGTCTTCTTTGTTAGTCCACCGTGTTATACCTAAAACCTGATGTTCTGGGGTCTTGAGTGCGGGTACCAGCTGGAAGGACAATTAGAGATGGTCCGGCTTGTGGGAGAGCTGCGCCTGCTGCATTTCTGGCTGCACGGACTGCCTGTGAACACAGAAAGGCTTCGGCTTTGTGGTGAAGGTGGCGGTGCTTTGGGAACCTCAACCTCTGCCCGAGCCGCCGTTCTCGGGTGTTTTAGTTGGGTTGATGATGGGTTTTTGATGTTTCGGTTCATCAGTTGCATTCTGTGCTAAAACAGAAAGAAAACTCTCAAAAGATGAAGGAGAGAGTCATGTCCACATCCGTGGTGGGCTGTACCTCCCCAGGGATGCTCCGTTCAGGGTCGGACAGCGAGTTGTACAGCTCCGGGGGTGTTTTGGTACGCTCCAACCAGCAACTTGCAGCAGCAGGCGGTGCGGGTCACTGGTTCCCCAGTAATCCCAGCACGAGCCCTGCGTGGCAGGAGGGGAGCTGCGGCCCCAGCTTTTGGAGGGCAGGAGGCAGGTGTGGGAGTCTCGGGCTGCGCCCAGGTCTTGACGGAGACCTGGGGACCTGTGTCGCTGGTGCAGGGTCAGTCCCCAGCTGCCTGTCGATGTGTTGGGTGAAGATCCAAAACCTGAAGATGAACCCAGTGCGTGTGCGCCCGCCCACCTTGAAGAAATGTGTGCATCTGTCCTGGCTTTTTTATTAATCCCCTGGGTGGTTCAAGCTCTGACTCCTGTTTCGCACGCTCAGAGCTGGCAGAAGCAGAGCTCAGCACCAGGGAAATCCCTCCCATCCTGACTGCCGCAGCTCTGCGAACCCTGTTCGGGTCTGGGTCTCGCTGGATCCGTGGACAGAGGAACCGTCACCTTCCCACGCTGTGGTGTGACGCTTCCCTGGATGCAGCCCAGATCTCCTGGGCTCTTTCTTTCCCCTCTCTTTGCCACCGTATCGCTTTACAGAGTAATGAGTTGAACAGCGCGGTCGTTAGTGCAGCTCGGCTCCTGCGTGCTCCCAGCGTCGGTGGCGCGCGATATCTAAGCCTTCGTGCTGGGGGGAGCGGAGGGGGGCTGCACCGGGTGGAAATTTCTCACCGCAGACTTCGCTGGGGCCAGACTTGTTGTAAATTTTACAAGAAAAACACTTTACAAACCAGAAGTCCAACTCTCGTGCACATGGAGCTGCTAATTAACAATTTGGAGACCGTGTGAGCCAGGGGAACCAATTCCAGTGGTTTTGAATCAGGCTTTGAAGAACCGGGGTCCTCCATAAAGCTCTAGCTCCGGGAGTCTGGTGATTTCTGTTCCTGTTCTTCTGCTTCTCCCCAGCTTGCACACAGGAACCCTCACACCTCCCAGGCCCTCCGAGAAATAGCACTTCAAGTCCCACAGAGCGCTTTAGAAAGGGACCATCTCCAGGGAGGCACAGGATGCTGAAGAGCTGACTCGTGATATTTGATCATCTGCAACTGCTCTTGCACCTCTCGGGAGGTCCTCGCGCACCACCAAGGGTGCCCCGGGCTGCAGGTCCCAGCGTGGCACCCACCCCTTCCCAAAGCCTGGCCTGAGCCGAGCATTTTGAGCATCACCGAGCCGTCGAGGGCCACAGAGTCGCTCGGTGAGGCCGGGAGTCTTGGCGTGAGTCGTCCCATCAAACGCGGCGCGGTCGGGCCCTTGGCAGGGACGCCGCCGGCTTTTCCTGCAGCCCTGCCAGCCCTGGCAGGGTTATTGCAAGACTTGCAAGGTTTGTGTTTCACATCTCGCGTGAGGCCAAGCTCCCGGCTCCAGGACTCACCGCGTCTCCCGTCCCAGACCGTTGCGTCGGGGCCACGGTGGCCTCAGTCCCGTGGTGGCTGAGGTTGCCCTGTCCCTCCTTGAGAGCCGCCACCACCTCCGCTGCGCCCGGAAGGGGACCGGGAGATGGGAGACAGGAGGTGGCATGGGGTGTTGGTGGAGAGAGGGGTGCGCCGGGGGTTAAACGGGGCTTTGGGGTGGGAAACAGCCCTGGCTCCATCACCCATCCATGTTGGTGGTGCAGCCGGGACAGCAGCTGGAACGAGCCACGCGGTGAGGCAGGGCGGAAGCAGGCAGATGGGGAGAGTAATCTCTCTTGAAAAGTTGTTGGCTTGAATAACTGTGGTTTACCTCTAAATTGTGATGAGCACGGGTCAGAAACCCTGCGAGGTAGAGCTGCCGCTTGACGGGCCTTTCCACCAGTGTTTGGTGTTTTCCGTCTCCTTTCTCTCCTCTGTTTCCCGTAGCAACGGAAATAACAAACTTTACCGTTAGAAAAGATTTGCAGAGTAACTTTGCCTTGATGTTCTGCATTAGTCACAGTCCTGCAGGTACAGCCGCCGGGTTTCGCTTTCCCACAGTGTCCCCTACTGCTTGCATTAAAAAATCCATTTAGGTACACATGACAAAAGGAGGGGGAAAAAAAAAAATCTTAATGGACGTATAAGGCACAGAAAGTCACCAGAAGGGGAAATGTTTTTTATGGAGCTTCAGCGAGAATCCCCGTGGAGAGCATGAGACGCGTGGATTCGTGGAGGGAGGAAAATGCAGAGTCAAGTTCTGCCCCTGCAGCTCGGACTGCGGCTCCCGAGAGCTGCTCGGCTCCCTGCCGGCGGCTGCGTGATTGCGGGTACGGCACAGGCTGGGGTGTAAGGAGGACGGATTAGATTAAAGGAAATAAAGAAGAGAAAGGAATCAGGAATAGAGAAGGCACTTTCTTCTGTTTTCTTTCGGGTGACACAGCAGGGGAAAGCAGCCTGTTTGCAAAGACAGCTGGATCGTCACTTCAGACTGCGACCGCTCCTCTGTGGAGCTCGCTGCTAAAAGAAATGAGTAAAACCAAGTGTTCGGGAGGCGAGAACACCTCCAGCTATGGTGGATTCAGGGAAAGTCAAAAAAGAGATTCGTGATCCAAGGGGAAGGAGGAGCCGCAGCTGGTGGGTGTCGGGGAGAACCAGGGTGGTGGGTGCTGCCTGCCCAGGGAAGGGCTGGGGGGGTGCGACACGTCTCCCTGACCGGCGATGCTCTGCGCTTTGCTGGTAGCGCCGCTGGTAGGCTTCTCCCTGGCACGGGGACAGAGCAATGCCACGGGCTCGGCGGGGGCGCAGGGCTGTCAGAAATGCCTCCCCAGGCGTCCTGCCTTGAGCAGAGATCGCTCTCCGGGCTGGGTGAAGGTGGAGATACGTCCCTGACCATCATCTAGTCTCTAACCAACAGCTGAGCTGTGGCCGCTGGCCGTGGGCACGCTCTTCGCCCCCTCTGCTGTGATGTGAATTCCTTTGGGGATGCTTGAGGTGGGGGACACTACTCTGCAGTTGGGGCAGGCTGGGAGCATGCACATAGCCATCCCAGCTCAGCTAACGAACGACTCATTAAACCTTTGCTACTTGCACACCCTCAGTTGTGTCCGTACCCTCAGGAATGATTTCCAGATGAGACGAGCTCCATGAAGCTCCCCCTGCACCCTGCAGATGCCAAAGGGTCTCGATCCGGACCTCAAGGTGTTGCATCCCACAAGATCAGTTCCCCGCAACACCGGGAAATTCATCGTTTCTACCCAAATCAGTTGTAATCTCTCCCCAGAGACCACGCAGAGGGCTTTAACGCTGATGACACTGCATGACATGCCCAGCAGTGCCTAACGTTCGTATTTCTTATTCCTTCCCCCAGACCTATGAGCAGAATGAATGGATAATCCACTTGGCTGGGAAACTGCTGGCCCAGGAAGAGGAGACCTTGTCCTTGATGGCAACGAACCCATTCGCAGGCAGAGCACCCCCACGGTAAGCTTTGAGTTTGGGCGAGGGAGTAACCGGGCTCCGCGTTGTTCTTATCTTGGGCGTGCACACGTGGTTGCTGTTGATGGGTTGGGTTTTGTGTTTGACGGTACCCAGGAGGTCTTCACATGAGGGCGCCATGAAGAGCTGGTGCTCTCAGCACCTTCATGCCTTCCCGGTGGGGCCACAAGGGGCCTTTGGTTGAGCCCGTTCCCGGGCAGGTCTGGGAAGGGCTCGGCGTTGCTTCTCTTGGACAGCCATCGCGGCTGCTGAAGTGGTTTCCTGCCCGTCGGCTTTAGATTTTTTGCCGCGATCACTTTGCGAGCTCAGATCAAAACTGCCGTTTCGACCGGCCGCCTGAGGTGTTTCAAAGACGAACCAGTCCTGCAGAAATGACTGCTTGTGTGGACACTTGTCTTGGAAGTGTTTGTGTTTTCAATCAAGAGACAAAGCAAACATCAGCCAGTGAAAGGCGCAGATGAAAACCCCGAGGTTTTTTGACAAAAGGGAATTTTTCACAAAAGCGTCTATTTTGTTGATGCAGTTATTTTTAGCTGAGAAAACATTTTAAGGGAATTTTGGATCAACTCAAGTAATACTATGCTCTTGCTAATATTTTCCATTCGAGGCTCTTAGGATGCACTGAAAACAAGGCCAGAGGTTCACAGCACCGTGTGAAATGAGCTTCCTCCTGAACCCTGCCGATGTTTTTCAGCTTTAGCGCAGTGCATCCCCCAGACCTTCTGAGGAGAGACCCCTTTGCCAGCTGAGACACTTAAGAACTTCCACCTTTTACTGAAGCGCTTCCTCTCAGATGGTTTACACATCCCAAGATGGGATAATTGTATAAACCCAAGATGGTTTATACTGGGAGCTGCATGTAAGTCTGTATATAGTCTGCAAAAAATCAGAGCAGAGGCACAGCTCGGAATACAACCGCTGAGTTGCCCACCACCGTATTTGAGTATTTCTATTAACCACATTTTTGGGGTTCCCCAGGCATCTACCCTGTCCCGCAGTGGACAGGCACCTCATCAGAGCATCAGTACAGGCTGATGGGACATAATTCCTCAAAGTACAGGAGCCAAAACCGCTGTAAGAACAGTTATTTTGGGGTTTTTTTTGCACATCTTCTCATTTGAGAACCCCTTTTCCCACCAGTGCAGCGTCGCAGAGTGAGCCAGCGGGCGCTCCCGGCGCGCGGGGCAGGATCCTGCCCGTAGCCCCGAGACTCGCAGCCGCGCCGCGGTCCCCGTCAGCGATGGTTTATAGCTCCGGGCGCGTCGTAGGGTGGTGTCGCCGTTCGTTGGGTTACGCAAGCAGCGGATCTGTTACACACAAATAATGACGCCTTGGCTCCCGCCCAGGAGGGCTCGCGGGAACCTCTGTTAATTATTGCTGGGCTAGGCACAGCCCTTGCCACGGACAGATCCAGCTTTAACGATGTCTGCGGAGGGGTTTTAGCTCTGATGAGCTGCGCTGGTGCGGTCTCCCTCCGTGGTGTGGAGAGGAGCACGTCAAACCTCTTTGCTCTGGGTTGCGGTCCCGTTTTGGCCGTGTTTTCTCTGTCTTTATGGACCTTCATCTGACTGTACGTGCGTTTATCAGCCAAAGTAGGGTCTGCAGCTCGTGGCAGCGAGCTGAGCCTCCCCGGTGCTCCCTGCCACCTCCTTTTCAGGGCTGCTCAGCTCCCCCCCGCCCCATGGAAGTGGCACCTTTCTGACGGCCGGGGAAGGGACACGGTGCAGCCTGCGGGACCGCTGACGTGGCAGGGGCGGTGGGTTCCTCGTTAGGGTGCTAACGACCGCCAGAGCTCGCAGCGGGCAGCACTTCAGCCCAGTGAAGAGGGGTCACCCACCGGGATCTAGGAGGAGCTGGATCCTGCGGGAGGTTGTCGGGGAGATGGTGGTGGGGCACCATTTGCAAGGCTGAGCTGGAAAAGCGAGCGGAGAACCTGCGTTGCGTCGGCTCTGTCTCGAGTGGGTTGATCAGCCGAGCCTCTCCAGACTTCGCTCGTGTCCCCAAGGCTCAGCGCTGTGAATTCACCGAGCGGCGTTCGTTGCGGGGCGTTCCTCCGCGTTTGCTTTTCTTTAATTAAAAAAAAAAAAAATTAGAGAGAGAAGAAGGAAAGTCAGACCTGAGTGGTGGCTGACCCCGGGGGTTTGAGCAGAACCTGGGACCTTTAGACACCGAGTCACCAGTTTGAATTAGGTGTCCCCCGGTGCCAGCAGCCAGAAGCCATGACCATCTGGTGGCTGCTGGCAGTAAACGGCTCTGGCGGTTCACGGGGCGACAGAAGCATTTGATAATCCCAGAGCTGTTTATTACCACGTGTCCCTCAGTGCCATAAACGTTGTTCCTGGTACTCACCACGACTGAGGCTGAAAACAAGACATCATAACCGATTGAAAGTCAAGAAAATGTATACCGTGTCTTGCCTCCAAAGGCTTTGCCATGGGCAGGCTGTGTCTCTTCGATGCTTTCTGGCATTGGTGGTGTTAAAAAAGAAATTAAAATAAAGTAGTTGAGCACAGGAACTTGTTTTAAATTGAAAATAATAAAGTGGGATGTGGCTGGGATAACACTACATTGCTCCAGGTGGTGAATAGGCTTTTTTTATCGTGTTCTGTTAACAGGTGAGGAAGTGAAACGTTCAGGAATTTAAAGCAAAACCAAAAGCGAGTCTTTATCTTTGTTAGTTTTTATAGGATAATGACTGCAGAGCGTACAGAGGAATACAAGCAGGTCCAATAAGTAATTACAGAGCAGCGTGGATGCTGTGTCGAACACATGGTGCTATAGATCTTGTTGAACAGGGTCTTGATTCATGTGTTGCCTTGGTTTAACCGAAGCACAGACTCTGTTTTCACTCTTTAGCAGCTAGTTTATAGTAGGAAAAGATCAGGATCCAGCGCTGGTTTTATGTGTCAGCTGCCTTTGCTCTGGCATTAGTTTTGCTTTAAAAGTTTTTCATGGGTCTAGTGTATTTTTGGGTGGCGTAAAATAAAAATAACAATTTACAAATGCTCGGTTTGGCTCAGACCAAAACCCAACACCCCGTTTCACTCTGGATCCCGGGTCGTGGGTCACGTTTCGGGTTTTGGCGAGCCAAATCCAAACACTCAGGACATTGGCACCATCCGGATTTTTGCCGGGGGGCGAGGGCTGGGGGCACGGGTGGGTGCTCGCCCCTGCCCGCCCTGGGGTGCTGGGGTCGGATCCTGCGCTGGGCTCTCCCGTCAGTCACCGATTCCTGTTGCTATTTGCGTTTCTTCGGCGGTTCCTTGTTTGCTGCTCGCGCTTTGCCTGCGTAAGGAAACTGAAGCGACTCGTTGCCCTTTTTTTTCCCCCCAGTTTTTGCGCCCCATCCCAATTTGTCTGGGTTTTACACTCGTGGCCCGCGTGGCGTGGGCACAGCGGCTCCGTCGGCTGCTTTTCCCCCAGCCTTACTTCTGCTCAGCCAGGCTCGCCTGTGCGGGTTGGAGGTTTTTTCCTCTAAATTTCAGAAACGCCGTTTCTTTGTGTAATGTTAAACGTCCCCTTGTTGCTCGTTGAAGCTCCCGGCGGCGCTGGTGAGCCCGCGGCACCCCCGGCACAGCCCTGGGCACGTCCCCACGGGAGAACCGTGGCCAGAACCCGGGGGGGTGATCAGCACGCTCCAATCTGCGTGCAAGCAGGGGCAGCCACGGGACACCAGCTTCGTTAATCCAGACCCGTCACTGACTGAGCGCTGCCTGCGGGCATCCTCGGCACTCACAGCCGCTTACAGCCGGCGGTCGCCTTTACCGGTATTTCGTTTGAGTTGTGAGCAAAAGCCTTAAATTGAAGGCTCAGCGGGAACGCCTGGAAAGAAAAGATAGTTCAGGGTGGCCGGAGCTGCGATAGTTTCCGAAGGGCACCCCTGCACCCTCGCCCCTGAGCCGGCGCCCGCCGGCGGCTGCTGCGAACGTCGAACGCACCTTCGCTCTCGCCTTCCAGCCACGGATCGTGCCCACCGCGGTAGCTGGGTGGAAAAAAAGCTAGTTTTCCTACCAGATTCCTCCCCCCTCCCCGTACTCTAAAGGGAATTTTGAGACTTAATTATTTTCATTCCCTGCTAGACTAAATAATTAGGGGAAGGGACTGTTTTCCATAAGAACATTACGCTCCATACTCCACGGAGTTTATTCTGTTAATGGAAACTCTACACCTTAAATAGCCAAGGGACTTTCAAAATGAGTTAATGCCTTCGAAATGAAATTTCTGAGACCAAAGTTTGTAGGTTTCTTTACAACTCTAGAAATTATAGTATTTTTTCAAGTGTGATAAACTTAAAATGAGAAACAGGTGACTGATTAAAAATGAGGGTATTGTTGAGCGCCCAGCCTAGCTGAGTGTGAAGCTTTACTTCAAGCACAGCGATGTTTGTGGAATGTGGATTTACAAAATATTATTGTGCAGCGGATAGTTCATAAAACACCAGCCATCATAAATCTGAACGGTAGGGCTTTGGCTGAGAAATTAATAAGTGTTTAACACACCGTCATGGAAACAGACTGCAACAATGAAAGAAAACAAAAATCAGGTTTTGCCTACAGAAGGAGGAAAAAAAAAAAATCAGGTTGATTTTTGACAGAAGCGTTCGGTGTCTGTGTGTTAAATCACGCTCGCTGAAGGACTTTTATTCCAATTATAGCAGCGCTTTGTTGAAAAAGCCCCAACAAGTAGCTGAAGACCTGGATTTGTAGCAGTTATTTATGGAGGCAGCGCTTCCCGTTTGATGCTACCTGGCTGCAGGGACGCAAGAAGAATACAGTGTTTGGTGTTCTTTTCTCTGTTCGACTGCCCATGTATCGCCCATTTGTGTCAGAGCTCCTGGGCTTTATACCTGGATTTTCAGGCTGTGAGTCCCCGTGGACCCTGGCAGAAGGTGTAGGGGCTTTCCCCTGGGACCCGCGGAGACGTACAGCCCAAGCCACGGGACGGGCTTTGAACGGTGTAGAAGCCACTTTGGGGGCTGCTCCCTT